AAATCTATTCGCATTCTTTTGGCCGTTAGTGCTTATTATAACTATGAAATATGGCAGATGGATGTTAAGACGGCATTTTTAAATGGCCATCTTGATCAAGACATTTACATGAGGCAACCAGACGGTTTCGTGGTTAAAGGTCGTGAGGACTGTGTATGTAAGTTGAATAGGTCTATTTATGGACTTAAACAAGCTTCACGCACATGGAACATTTGTTTTGATCAGGCAGTCAAATTATTTGGCTTTGAACAAAACGTGTTTGCACCTTGTGTTTACAAGAAAAAACAGGGTAATGTCATCATGATTCTCGTTTTATATGTCGATGACATCTTACTCATTGGTAATGATGTAGAGGCTTTGTCATCAGTTAAAAGGTGGTTATTCAATAAATTTGAGATGAAAGATCTTGGAGAAGCAAGCTATATTCTTGGGATCAAGCTTATGCGAGATCGGGTTAAAAAGAAAATAGGCTTGTCTCAAGAGTCTTACATTGACAAAGTTCTGATCAGGTTTGGAATGGATAACTCTAAGAAAGGGTTTTTGCCATTTAGACATGGATTGACTCTTTCTAATGACCAGTCTCCCAAGACTGATAAGGAAATTGAGCAAATGAGGCGAGTACCATATTCTTCAGCAGTTGGTAGTCTCATATATGCCATGGTCTGTACCAGACCAGACATCTGCTACTCTGTAGGGATTGTCAGTAGATATCAGTCCAATCCTGAACTTGATCATTGGTCAGCTGTGAAGAATATCTTCAAATACCTTAGAAGAACTAAGAGTCTCATGCTCGTTTATGGAGGTGATGATCTGATTCCAGTCGGATATACGGATTCTGATTTTCAATCAGATCCAGATGCCAGGAGATCTACATCTGGATATGTGTTCAAGTTCAATGGAGGGGCAGTTAGTTGGAAGAGTGTCAAGCAGGGTTGTACTGCTGACTCAACCATGGAAGCAGAATACATTGCAGCCTCTGAGGCAGCAAAAGAAGCTGTTTGGTAACTTTCTAATTGAACTAGAGGTTGTGGAGCATATAGATCGGCCTACGACGCTTCATTGCGACAATAGTGCAGCTATAGCCCAAACCAAGGATCCAAAATTTCATAAAGGAACAAGACACATTCAGAGGAAACATCATGTGGTTCATGATATAGTAAAGCGAGGAGATATACTTGTGGCCAAGATTGTATCGGAATATAACCTTGCTGATCCATTCACAAAGGCTTTACCGATCAAGATGTTTGATCGTCATATGGAGAACATGGGAGTTAGATGTGATTCGAATTGGCTATAAGTGCAAGTAGGAGCTGTTAGGATATGCGTGCCCTAGTATAGCAAATTCTAATTTTGGATTGTAAAAGTCATGGTTCCTTATCTGAATATTATTATTAAAGCATTATACAATTGGTGAATGGAATGTATTATTTTTCAATTCATTATGGAATTGATTGTGTCCACTTAATTAAAAGATATATTTATATATGTATGTAATGGCAATTAATACTATGTTATAAATTAGTAATCATAAATGGTTCAAAGTTGGTAATTATGGATGGACATTTAATTAGTTAAGACTTGAACCGAGTCCACAATAGATTGAGATATATTGCGAGAGCTGTCGTATGCAATTGCTCTCTATCACAGTTATGGCTTTTGACTCTCAAGCATGAGAGAAGTATAGACTCTTTTATATATTAATAAGAACTTTGATTTGTTTGGCAGATAACTCGAGATCCTTAGATCGACTTTTTGGGTTGTTATGTAATTAATAGTTAGAGGTCTATATTCTCAATATTTGCATCAGTGCTATTTGTATTTATTTTGTTTTGATTATGGTTTATCACAAATTAAATTCGAAGGCCTTCGTATGTTTTAGACAAATGTTTTCTATATATATTTATTTAGTAAATTATTATTTTTGTCAAATAAATATTTTATTGTGATCGAGCCGGAAATAATCAAAGGTAACAAAATAATTATATTAATTATGTTGTCGGATTGATGACTTTTATTATCCGATAAATAATTAAGCATAGAGGGATCAAAGTGCAACATTGACTTAGAGGTTATTTACTATTTAATTGGAGTGCAATTAATTTCTTTTAGTGGAGTAGAAATTAATTTATGAATTAATTGAATTGGGTCTATGGTTTAATAGACCGGACCAATTATTAATTTATAAGAGCCAAGAAAATAGTAAGCCCAAAAGGATTCTCACCAATAGCCCAAGTTGATATTGGAGTTCTGTTAAAATTGAGAAAGTTGATTAGAGATGGAAAATGATTTATTATTTCTTTATTCTTATTTTTATTTTGCCTATATATACATGGGTCCATGTATATTTTAGGGACGACTTTTAGAACAAAAAAAGGAATACACTTTCTCTCTCTAGATTTTAGAGTTTGTTTTCTCTTCTAAAGGAGGCTATCACAAGCCTAGATTCCAAGGTCATTCATCAAGACATATTAGTGATTCCTAAAGGGAAGATTATAATCAAGAAGAAGGAGAAAGGATCTTGCTAAAGGGATCTACAATAAGTGAGAACATTCACTTTAGAGGAAAGATTAAAAGGTTTACTCAGACCTTTGATGTAAGTATTCAATCTGTTTATTGAATCATACATCATCTTTTATTTGTTTTTGCATAAAACTTGTCTCTATGTGATGAATCAAGATCCATGATTGCAAATCCCTTAAAAGTTTTTAAAAACTTGCACGTTTCCCAACAGGAGCTTGGGCGATTGGAGGGGTCGAGGGGTCAACCCGAGGTATATTGAAGCATGGTGAAACCAAGCTCCAACTTGATAAACTTAACTTGAACTTATTTTTCTATGGTCGGGTTAAGCTCATGGAAAACATATATTTTTCTGTGGTCGGGTTCTATGTATATGTTTTTATCCAATTGAAACTAATGCCACTTTTTCTAAAGTAAAAACAGGTAATTGTAAAATTCTGATGGAGTATCACCTATAACAGATTCAGCCAGTTACCAAATAATCTGCAGTGAGGTAACTGTTATGACCAAAAAGAAAAAAAGAAAGAAAGAAAATGAGAGAGAAATTAAGTGAGACGAGGTGCACATACATAACGCGTGCATAGGCATGGAATAAGTGACCAACATACGTGGCTGCACACGCAGCTAATAAGAGCAAGTTTTCTAATTCAAGTTTCCAACATAATTGTCCATTAAACTCAATCATCTTCCTCTAAACACTCTTTGTTCTTTAAAAATAACATTAACAAAGTAGATATACTATAATTTTAAACTATAGAAAAATTTATTCATGTCCAGTGTCCCTGGATTTTGGAATTTTGAGAAATTTGTTACTTAGACACATGCAACTTATGCATGCATCCAATTTACATACAGCTTGTGGTTCTGAGGAAGAATATAAGCTTTCTAACAATTAATGAAATCCATTTCAGTAATTACAATTAATGCATCCTTACTATTTTCTAATATTTTCTATCTGTAATTTGTGTTGAAGGGTAAGCAATGTCAAAGTATTAATTATACAGAACATACAAAAGACCTAATGAGACATCACAGATGAGGAATATGAAGACAACTATAATAAGGATGATGTGCTACTGACTGATGAGAGATGCAGTAGAAGTCATGAAGATCAAGGTAACAAGCTGATGAAGATTTGTGGAAAGGATTAAGATAGGTGTAACGGGTGGGCGCTTGCCCATTTACCCAAAGGCTCGAACTGTTAGGTAAGACTGCATACCCACCCATTTATACCCAATCTCTTTCCCATCCGATTCCGATGTGGGACAAAATGACCCTTGTTACATTCTCCCCCACCCAAACTCGCAACGCCCTCGTTGCGGTTGGGCCACCCTGCCTACCCAGGTGGACTCACCCGGACGCCTTCCGGGCCGGGCGCTTGGCGTGGCATCGGATCAAGGACTGGATTTGGCTCTGATACCAATTGTAACGGGTGGGCGCTTGCCCATTTACCCAAAAGCTCGAACTGTTAGGTAACGCTGCATACCCACCCATTTATACCCAATCTCTTTCCCATCCGATTCCGATGTGGGACAAAATGACCCTTGTTACAATAGGCCATTTAAAAATGATAACCTTAGTTAATGCTTTGGAAAAAAGACAGTGGCAGTGTGGCGCTACCAAAGAAGAGTTTGGGTTGGAGCAGCAGCGTTGAGGTTTACTCTCAATCAAGGCTGCTGCATAAGACTTTCTGCATCCATGCTTGGAAATCAATACGTATCAATGTCTTATCAAGTTTCATAATGCAGGTGTCAATCAATGCCATGGTTGACATTTAACAATCCTAGACATAAAGACATTGGCAATTAAAAATATTTAAAATGAAATTAAGATTAAGCATATACATATTGGCCTCACGCTTTTGTTTATTTTGACAATGAGATCAGTACTAGAAAAAGCTATTCAAGAGAAAAGGACCTCAAGAGAAGATATATGCAAATAGTTCGACTCTCAGAAGCCACTGATTTGTTACTAACACAAAGTTAAATTAATTGAAAAAGGGACGAGGAATTAAGCTAAGCAGTTATTTTTATAAGCTAACTTCTAAATCACCAACTAGATACATTTGTAAAATTAAGCAGCATCATAGAAAAATAGTGCATGGTTTATATCCTAAAAGACCAAAAATGAATAAGGTGCTAACTGAAAACATTACGGTTGCAAATAAAATTCTTGCCATTGTTGGAGCATTAGTTTCACGAGAGACTGTAGTCCTTTTTGTTATAAGAAGCAAGCATCAAATTGACATAGACAGAAGAAAAATACTCTCACATAAATAATAATTGGTGCCAAAGACTAAATAACTGAATGCCCAAAAAGTAAAAAAGGAAGTAAAAGAATAAAAACTCATGTTTGCACATTCTATTTCCAAGTCAATAAAATTGAACAATAAACACAGTGAAACCAGTTAATAGTTGAACTTTAATATCTCATAACATGAAGAAATTCATTATTCTAATTGAATAATGGTAGGAAGAGTATACCTGAATCTTGTACTTGCCCAGCCATCCCGCCCTTTCAAAATATATAAATGGTAGTCCTGATAAGAAAAATACACTTTCATGAAGAAAGAAACTCCCGAGACATGCCAGTTGAAAGTCACTGAAGTGACAGATTAGATACTGCATAATAACCAAATAAAAATTTAACAATATTACAACTACATTTCATAACTCATAATAATCAAGACTATATAGAGCAGGAAAACAACAGTAGAAGTAGAACATTTAAATTATGTCATCGTATCATAATCCCAAACCACAGGATAATCAACATTGCATTGAGAAACATTTCTTGCTTCCATCTAATATGCAAATGAATTATGTTCCAATGTGGATATCCCGAATAAGATTCAATGCAGGAATTTACATATTCGGAACTGTTACAAGAAGCAATTTTTTTTTCTTTTTTCTTTATTTTTAGGTGTCACCTGTGTTATATCAAAAGTATTTACAACAAAGATAAAACGGTAAACTTACACAACCAGAATTGTGCCACATCATCCATAATTCCTTCTATTCACAAAATCATCTACGAGAATAACAGGAGGAAAGAGGGAGAGATTATATGGTGACACGGAGATGGAATGGAGTATAGACACATAGCGCATGCCATTCCCCTAATACTATATGAAGGAAAGTATCCAAAAATAAATAAATTGTCTTTGAAACACAAACCCAAACAAAGAAAAGAGAAGGGGCTAGGAACAAGTACAATGATTGTTAGAGATTTTATTGTGTCTGATCTCGGAACTAATTCAACTGGCCCATGGGTCCAAAGAACTAGAGCAACACTTTTGGTACATTTACTGTGGCCTAAGGTTTTGATGCCTAAGGTTTTGATGATAAATAAGCCATCCTTATAGCCTTTTGAGTAATGCTATCAAGAGATCTTTCTCATGGCAAGGGCATGAGCACTCTATTGACTAACTACTGGATTGAGACAACTTTTGAGATATGTGAAAAGTCAAACATATCTTGTAATAAATCTCTCAATTCAATGGTCAATAAAAAGAGCTCATGACAAGAGTCATGAGTGGAATTTTTTTATGGCATTACTCTTAACCTTTTTATGCAATTTATGAGATCATTTCCACTGCCTAACCATCTAATAACAAGGTATTGTTGCAACCAATACATACTCACACAATTTTCTTATAATGGTTTAGACGTTTAGTACTCATATTTTAATCTTTTTTCTTTTAAACAAACAACAACCCCGCGCCACCGACCCCCCACCCCCCACTTCTTTTTTTTACCAATTTCAACCTGCCAATTAGTTATAGATGGAGTAGAACATTAGGAGCTATTAGTACCCAAAAAACATCTAGCAATTATGTTTCATATTAAAGCATCGTATTACTATACTGTTTAAACCCAAAAATAAAATAAAAAATAAAAACTAAACTATAATAATGAGTCCATACCCAATTTTGAAAAAGGAAAGAGAAAGTCAAGAAGTAGCTTATTCTGAATCGACTAAAGATCAATTCTAAACTGACAAGATACAACAACAATCTAACTTCACTTATAATTTCATAATTATACACCTCCAAAACTTCAAAATAAATCCAACAAAAAAGAAAATTCAATTCTGAAAACGGTGAATCAGAGAAACCTCCATATGAGTTACACACAAAGATAAATATGTATATAAATGAATGCATATACATATATTATATAGATCCAAAAGTAGCAATGATCAAATGTGGTGACAACAATTCTAGAAAAGAGAACACCAAATTTAGGGCAAGTAACTATGTATGCCAAGAAAAGGGAAATTTGAATAGTGAAGTAGCAGATTAACAATACCAGCCAGCAAGATTCAACAATCGAAGCCATTGATGTTTAAAATCAGCGACAATGAAGTTGATGGTCTTCGTCTTCGGTGGTCACTGGTCACAAAAATATGTAGAGAGAGAGAGAGAGAGAGAGAGAAGTAGTAGTAGTAGTAGTAGTAGTTACTAGAGAGAAAGCCAAGTGTTGTGAACAATATGAAGGGATGAACAGGTGCATGAGATGAGTGAGACACAGGTTCATGGGCCCTTCTATACAGAGGTGTATGCACACCGCGGCTGAGCTTACAAGGAATGCAACACGCACGTGTTACCCGAAACAATGAATCATCACACGACTTTATGGGTTTGGATCATCATCAGCTATCAAGGGGAGAAAAAGGGTTTAGAAGTTTTGTTTTTTTATTTCCTTTGGAGGGCATCGGAACTCACCTGACAGAGCCCTTCGGGACTTACCCAGGCTATAAATCGTGAATATTGTTGATGATTTCACACCTCAGCAACAAATTTAGTCGAGGGTTATAATGACAATGAACGAATTTAAACTTGTAACATGAGCGTTCTAAGGTCGTTATCTTTTCAACTCGGTCAACCCCCAGGGGCAAGGGTCTAGAAGTTATTACACGATTTTGGATTAAGTTTTGGGTCAATTACTAGTTAATACATGGAAGCAAGAAATTAAATAAAATTAATATATATTTGTATGTCAGTCAAAATGAAGGATCAAAAAATTTCCTTATCTTTACTCTCTTTCTTCAAGAAACTCCTTATTTTTACAGTAATCTCTCTAAATTATTTATTTTTTACAAAATACATCCGGTGTTAACATCGGTTTGATTTTTTTTTTTAGTTAAATAGACCCTTGAAACTAACAATATTATCCTTATTATTTTTAAAATATTAAGAGTAAAGTACAAAAAAGAATATATAGATATACTATATTAATGTTCTTATTATTATTATTATTATTATTTAGCATGTGTGATCTCATAAGTCATAACTCGTAAATAATTCTGAGGATAAACATCACATTTTCTAAATATTTTAAGTTCTCAATCTTAATAAGCAGGATAACATTATGAAATGGGTGGAGATGGAACCAAAAGCCAAGTTAAGGCCAAGTTATGGTGGAATTTTTTTGTTTTTTATATATATATTTTTTCTGAAAAGGAGGATTACCTCCAAAACAGAAGGAGAAGTAATGGAAAAATCATATCCAAACAAGTACAAAACCAAAACAAAGCAACACCAATGAACAACCGGCAGGTCTTGAAGATGAACTTCCAAACTATCGGTAACTTCCCAAGTGTTATTCCTAACCGATTGAACAGCATTGATCAGAGCTTCAATATTGGGCTTGTACTGTTGTTCTATTGTGGTTCCAAATTGGGCTTGCCCCAAAACCTCCTCTCTTTTTTTTTTTGGTTACTTTTGGAGAAAAAATCAAGGGTTAATTACACTCACACCCTTTGAGATATATTATAATGACAGTTATATACAAGTTTGTCTCTTTTTAAATAATAACATCCCCTCATATTTGATAAAATGATCAAAGACACCCAGACACCTTTGACGCAAGCTAAAAAGACCTTATTATCCTTTGACTTTTGAATTAAACTATTTAAATTATAACATTACATATTTAACCTTTTTAGTAATTATAACGGACCAATTTAGCCCTTATACCCACTAACCATACCATGACAACCACCTCTTCCTCTATCTGTTTCTTTTCTCTTTATATATATATATCATGGTGGTAAGAAGTGGTAAGTGTGGGTGTGAGCGGCGGTGGAAACTAATAGACTTGGTAGTTGTGTGTGTGTGTGTGTGTGTATATATATAAGCACATACACGTATATCCAATTGCAATATATTGTCCAAACTAAGACAAATGATTCTCTGGATTGTTTTGATTTTCACGTTGCTGGGTTTGGATTCGGCGGGAATGGCTCAATATGGGAAAGGCTGTTTCGATTTTAGGCTCTTAGCAAAATTTCACAGCCAATTGTTGCGTACACGGTCGCAGCCCAGCGATCAACCAGCTACAATTTCTCCTCCAAGGACACCTTCGATACAAGATCCCCGTTGGCAATGCCTTCACCTTCTTCTCTACCCGCAATACCTACAATAAACATACATATATATATATATATATATATATATATATATATATATATACATATATATTATATAATATAGTATGAAGACCCCAATTGTTGACATCACACACACACACATGTGTATATATATATATATAACCCTAGTTGTCGTTAGGGCTGCAAATGAGCCGAGTCGAGCCGAGCTTTGGCGTGTTCGGGCTCAGCTCGCCAAGTTCAGAAGGCTGCTCGGGCTCGGCTCGGGCTCAGGCGAGCTTAACTTAGCCAAGCTCGACTCAAGCTCGCATTCCAGAAATAAACCTCTCAATTTCTCAATAATCGGCAAATCCTCAGATCTTCGATTATCTACTCCTCTTTGTTATGTATAAATCTTTAATAATTGTTTTTATTGTTTTAAGCTGTAGACAAATGAAAAAAATGATGCATTGCCATTAACTGTTAGAAAGAGAAGGAAAAGAGAGGTCGAAGAAAAGTTACAGAATTTGAAAGCAAAGAAACATAATTTAGTACAAGTGCTAAAACAGGTCAGCTTCTTTCCAATCCTTTGTATAAACCTCTCAAATTCTCAATAATCGAAATCTCCACAAATCCTCAGATCTTTGATCTCTTTCTTTTATAATAACAAGGGTCAGTTCAACCCTTTTCTCTAATCTCATTCTGGTCCAAGAATCTATATTTTTCATCCTTTCATAACTCAAACAAAAGAAGAAGAAAAAAAAAATGGCCGGCGAGAGAGAGTGAAAACATGGTTTTTTCGAAAATGGAGTGAAAACATGGTTGAGAGACTGAGAGTAATAACCTTGTAGTAGTCGTTGTTGGGTAAGATTGTCGCATGAGTCGCCGGTAGAGTAGCTGCCGACTTGAATATGTGATGGATGGATTGAGAGGTCTGATGGCCGTCGACTTGAATATGTGATTGATGGATTAAGAGGTCTGATGGCTGCCGACATGAATATGTGCGGGTTGGCCAGGCCTACGCCTGATTACCCGAGAATATCAAACCAATTAGCAATAAATGAATACAGAATACAATTAAGAAAACAGAAATAAATATATTGCTAAAAATAAACTAGAATGATAAACCAAAACTGAAAACCTCATAATAAATTTTTTATAAATAAAGTATTAATCTGATACATCCAACTTCTCCAATTCTAATACAACTCGGGAATCCATCTGGTGGACCCCTAATAAAACCAACACTGAGGAATGAACCACCGGAAAGGAAACCAATGCTAAATCATACAAGAACCGCCTACGTCGTCGGTAGAGTGAGTAGTCGTCTCTGCTCAGCACGAATAAGCTCTAAGACCTGATACCGTCCGTTACCTGAAAAATAATAGTTAGTCAGGCCCACGAACAAGTTCTATCCTAATTACAATCCAAACAGAGACCCGATACGCAGATACATCCTAGATGTCTCAACCATATCTATATATTCCGTAAATAGATATATACATATAACCACACTACTATGCTGAGGGTCTCAACCTGAATAGAAGGCAACATGCAAAAACGCACCTGAGTGGGCATGACTATCTAAGCCTAACAGGGTATACCTCAACCAACATAGCTAGTTACGCATCCTACTGCATATACGCTCCCTAACTGTCGACTATAAGACTCAAACTCAGATCGCGGTACCATAATTTATATATATAAATTCCCATCCAAACCAATGTAGCGCCGCTCAACAATTCGTTGCCATGACACGACATAAAATTAGGATTTAAATATTTTAATTAAATCCCTATCCATTCTACAAACATAAAATATAAACAACTATCTAATATGTCGTTCAACTGTTTTAGTTGACAGGACATGAAACCATGTAGGATTTAACTGTTTTAGTTAATCCATTCCGTATGTATGAACGGGTTGGAATTAGCGTTTTGATCTAATCCGTCGCTCCGTATACCATCGTCCCATACCGGTGCATACCATGCATATGATCCGTAAATGATGCAATAACTCAATCAGTACATCAAATAAATCCACATAAATCCAAATAGTTGATAAAACATACTTGAAACAATACATCAATTATAATCCCAAAATACCATCCATGTAGTTGCTAAAATAGTTTAATAGTCCAGCAATAAAAATCCCAATTCATAATCCAAGTAATTGCATAAACAATTTAATAATCCAGCAAATAGAATCCAAACATTTTATCCAAGTAATTGCATAAACAGTTTAATATTCCAGCAATTAGAATCCAAACATTTAATCTAAGTAATTGCATAGACAGTTTAATAATCTAGCAATTAAAATCCCAAATCCATAGTCCAAGTAACTGCAGAAAAGAATATAGTAATTTAACCATTAACATCTAAGATATGCATAGATCAAACTTGTTAATTAAATGATCCTAGCATGCAACCAAAATAAGATTTATAAACATACTAGATCCTGCTAGATTGCCAAAATTAAGCTTAGGCAATTTAAGTGTTCTTCCATCCATTAACCGTATAAAGAAATGCATAACTTTTATACAGTTTGTTCTGTTAATTTAGGGCTAAACTTTAATCAATTAAAGTCCTATTAACACCTAAAATTAACTTCTTAATCATTCTGTGCAATCCTAGAATTTTTCCAGAATAGTTCAGTTCCACCCGTCCGTTAACAGTATGTTAAATTGTATAGTTTAATACTGTTTCATCCACTAGTCTATGGGTATAATCTTTGCCATGTGAGACTTTAATAATTCATGAAATTATATTTAAAACCCACAGTGCACTTCAAAAACCAATTCAGAACACCCAACAAGTCCCCAAACAGTGCCCAAAAGTCCAGATTTCACGAAAACAAGGGAGTCTGCTCTTAAACTCGTAGAGCAGGTTCCAAACAAACATTGAGCAAGCTCAATTAAAAGAAAAAAGAGCCGGCTCCAAACACTTTGAGCAGGCTCCATTTAAAAAAGGAGTCGGCTCCAAACACATTGAGCAGGCTAAAATAAAATAAAAAAAAAAGAGCAGGCTCAATCTTAAAAAAAAAACCTGAACCTCCTCCGGCCTTCTTCTTCGTCTCCGACCACTCTTAACCTGTCTATTTGGTTTTACAACAGTTCCTAAGAGTCCTAACTATGTCCAGTATAATCCCCATGGTGTGTTTACAGCTAGTTAAAATCAAATACAGAAATTAC